GAAGAGCTGCTAAGCACAACCCATGCCTTACTAGCCTCCCACAATAAGAGTGCTGTATCACTTGTGTTATTGGCAAAACTCTTTTTGAAACTTGGCACAACTTGCTGCATAGATCAGTTCCTTTCTTCCTCTTCCAGTTGGCTTAATTGCCTGGGGCAGGTGCAGTTTTGGTGTCACTTTAGGGAACTGCTGGGAACTGGGACAGAAAGTCTGGGTAGATTGTGGGTTGAGCACAGGTCCAGGGATAGAAATGTCTAGAGCAGACCCCCAAAAGCTGATGGTGGCAGCTGGGAAATGAATGTGGCTCAATCAGACAAAGTGTACCAATCAAGACAGGCCCTGAAACTCCACCTGCAGAGTAACTATGAACTCCTAAGAGAAATTTTAAACTGTCCTGTCCTGCTGAAAGATGTCAATGGACTGGACTATGCACTTAGTGCAAACTCCAGCTTTCTGTGCCAGTTTCTCTAACCCTACGCCATGCTTCCTAAGGATTAACCAGTTTCCTGGTTTATCATAGAACCATAGAAAGTTAGGGCTGGGAGGGACCTCAGGAGGTCATCTGGTCCAACCCCCTGTTCAAAGAGGACCATCCCCTACTAGATCATCCCAGCCAAAGCTTTGTTTAGCCACGTTTTAAAAACATCCAAAGATGGAGCTTCCACCACCTCTCTGGGTAACCTGTTCCAGTGTTTTGTTACCCTCCTAGTGAGTAAATTCTTTGTAATATTGAACCTAAACTTCCCTTGCTGCAACTTGAGACCATTGCTCCTTGTTCTGAGAACAGTCTAGTTTCATCTTCTTTTGAACCCCCCTTCAGGTAGTTGAAAGCTGCTATTACATCCCCTCTGTCTCCTCTTATCTATAATAAATAAGCCCAGTTCCCTCAGTCTTTCCTCACAGGTCATCATTGTTGTTGCCCCCCATTGGACTCTCTCCAGTGTATCCACATCCTTTCCATGGTGGGGGCCCAAAACTGAACACAGTACTTGATGTGGCCTCACTGGTGCTGAATCGAGGGGAATAATCACTTCCCTTGACCTACTGGCAACACGCCTACCAATGCAGCCCAGTATACTGTTAGCCCTCTTGGCAACAAGGGCACACTAGTGGTTCATGTTCTGGATTTAAATTCCAGCTACAGTGTTAGAAAGTGGGGAATTCCCCTGTCTGTGGTATGTTGGCTTGTCACACATGTCTGCATGCTTGCCTGGAGCATATTGCATGCTGTTGTGTTCCTGTGGAAGCTTGTCCGCTTCCTTACTGAATTGTGCATTCAATATGCACAGTGGAAAGATCTACAGATACAGCAGGCATCCCACCCAGAAGAGAGCAGATAAGCTACAATACTCCTTGCTCAGCTCTACAGAGGGGATTAAATGAGAGACATCAACCTTTCTGAAGAAGTCCTGCAGATGGTTTAGCAGGGAGGGGTTGCTCTTTGGAGTGTATGTGCCTACCATTCATCAGAACTTGGGACCCCTGGATACCTGACACATTTTACGCAGCTGACTTGTCACCCTGGAGTGTGCATTTCACAAGCCTGTTGTTGTCACATCCTGAAGTAAACGTGCAGTTACTAATTCAGCATCCTGCGCGGTGACAGAATGCACTAGCATCACAAGTGACAGGATGCAGGCCAGAGCTTTTCCCATTTTTAATTTGTGTGTGTATATAAATTAAGAATGGGAAAAGCTCTGGCCTTATATAAAAAATGCCAATCCACTGAAGAATCCTGACTAGTTGTTGTGTGTGTATTATCAGCAGTAAAGAACAGTATAGCTATTTAATTATTTATTCAATGTATATGCTGCCCCTCCCAACAAAAGCTCAGGACAGCTTGCAATAAGAGAACACAATATCTTATAAAACAGAGTGACAAGAGAACAGAGCAATGTAAAAGGGAACAAGAATATTAATTTAAAACCAGGACCCTCTAAACAATATCTCTGCCTAACTTTGTTTGCCAAACACCTGCCAACTACAAAGGTCTTAATGCTTCTGAAAGATGTCAAGGCTCAGGCTCTGGTCCCCACCTTCCTGGAGTTTCAAACTCAGTTAAGCCAAAATAAGGAGCATTTATCTCAGCAAGCCTCCCTCAGTTTAGAGACTCAGATGAAACAGGATCTAGGTCTGATAAAATAAAAATCAATTGTTTCTTTGCACTTCTCCTTTTCATATCCCTACCCGCTGAAAACCCATCTTCTAGCCTTTCATAGAATACAGGACATTCAGTAGCACTTGCTATTTTTGCTCAATATTAAATAGTTTGATCCTGTTGAACTATCTTTCTGTAAAAGAAGATCACACTAGAGCCACTGAAATGGACTTTAAAAGCAACTCTACAAGAGCAACCCTGCCTTGGCAAACTGAAAAGAATGTCTGAAATACTATTGTGCTTGGCTCTGGCTTCTGATACACCCAGAATGCTCTGGTGGTATTGATCTGACTTTTGCAAATTAATTCATGTTGGTAATGGATTAAACTAGACTCCAAGTGCCAAATATTCCTAGGTCATGTCCAGACAAGTGCAAATGTTTGTTTTCCCCAGGACAAGTAGCAGCAGCACACCATGTGCCACTGCTACTTGTCCCCAGGGGCACCCATGCCATGTGTGCTCTAGTGTGCAGCAGGTTACCCTGGATAGGGGTAGGAGAGGCTGGGGCCAGCAACTGTGCTGGTCTCAGCAGCCTTACCTGGGGTCCTAGGGGTCTCCCGGGGCTTCAGCCACAGCAGGAAGCCTGGCCAGCAGCTGCACCATGGCTCTAGCCAGCCAGACTCTGGTTTTGGGTGGCATGTGCTGCCTCCACGTGTGCCACCCCACTTTTTTCATCATAGATTTGTTTTGGCCCTAGGAATTCCCGGGGTCAAGAAAACCTCCCCGCACTGCAAAGTAGCAGCACAGGGGACACCTGCATGTGCAGCATGTTGTGCTGCAGACTGCACATCCGTGCTCGTCTGGACATGGCCCTATGGTCTTTCTTCATTTGCAGAGTTGACTTTTGGGTCATTGGTTTGAGCACTTGGCTTAGCCTAATCTGAATGCAAGAGGCCACAATGTAAACCTGTGTTCACCTGAAACGTACACTCTGTCCTCAGTAGTACTGCTCTCTGCTGGTCTGTGTCATTAGGACTTCAGGGATATATGTCAAGGTTCCTTACATTGCAATGAGCTGAGCCAGCCACTCTGAGTCTTTTTCTAGTGAAAGGTGAGAGAACACCTCTGCCTGGGGCAGGCAGTGAGGCAACTATAGGAAGGCACTGGAGGACTATCAGCACTTTTTTTTTTTTATTATTGAGTTTTACCGTATCCCCCCAGGAGACCCAGTCATGAACCAGGGTCTCATTACACTAGGTATTGTATGAACCTGGAGCGAAAAGATGATCCCTATCCCAAATGGTTTACAATCTAAATGTAAAATATGAGACCACAGAAGGATAGAGGCAGACAGGTACAGGGGGTTCAAGGAAGCAATATGATGGCATTAGTCAGCATAATAAAGCAGTAGTCTGAGACCACATTAATCCTGCATCCTCACTGCAAAGTGAGTAGATTACCAGCCCGAGTGAAAAGAGAACCTAAGTTTTAACTCCAGTTGAGTTGGCTAGTAATGATTTTAACCGAGGCTAAGCTTGGGTAAGTGGATCTTTGTGTGTGGAAGAATGAAGGGTTTGAGGCATCACTTGAATAAAAGCCTGATATTTTGTACTGGGAAATACTCTTGTACTTCAGATTTACCTGCACTCCAGATGAGAACTCTGCATCTTTTGGTCACCAATATAAATGCTATGCAACATCTCACTCTTGGAAAAGTTCACTGGATGTTAAATGGAAATAAACTGGGAAAGCTGCTCATGCAAAGAAAAAGCAAACAGCCACATGCTGATAGTGACAGCACATTTAATTCTATGGCCAAATAGTTCCCCAGGAACTTGGCCATATAGAAAAATACTGCAAATAGTAAAAGATTTGTTTGAACTATAATTGTAATCACTCGCATGCCTAGGAGCCCTTTGAAATTAATGTGTTCATTCTGCTTTTGGGATTACATGATTACATCATTTGAGTAAGACTGGCTGCCTTAGCAACAAATATATTCAGAATAAATGTGAAGAAAGGTATGTTGCTGTGGTGTAGCTTCCACCTACTGTGGGTAACAACATGCACGTGGGTAATAACTGAGAAGTGCCTTATGTTTGGTAACACCTCTTTGACTGATAAATTCTTATCTTCAGTTTAAGCTTCATGAACTATTTCACTGTTATTTTTCTTAAAACATACAGTACATCCATTTTGAAAAATTTTAATTATCCATCCATCCATGATATATATTGTTGCTGGTGTTGTTATTGATACCTATTTTTACCAAAACATTATTTGATCAAAAAAAATTGATCTTTTTGGAACACTTTGGATCCGGTTAGATATCAGTGAACTCTGGTATTTCGTTACAAGTTGAAACATTTTGCAGAACCTTATTTGTCTTCACCAAGCTTTCACTTGGAAGCTTTTTGGGCCCAGCCCTCCCAAGTCCCTTCCAATGAGAGAACAGGGTGTTTCTCTATCACTCTTGTGCTTGGAGAACTAGGTGGGGGTATGAGAGACCCCTTGTTCAGGTCCCTACTCTGCTCAGTTCAGAGAAGTCTGGACTCTGATACCTTCCCAAAGTAAAGACAACTTACAGGTTTTGTTTGTATTCCAATGCAAAATAAAAATAGATTTTTGGAAGCTCTTAAAGTGCTGTAGAATGGAATTGTCCTGTGGGCAGTTGTAATAAAATGTGGTGAGATTTGTATGAGAAATTCACAATATAAACTTTTTAAAAAAGGGTGATTTCTTGTTTTTATGAAAACACTTTTGCTACAAAATTTGTGAGCAGCTCTAACACAGAATATCTTACTCCAAATAGAGCTCTCGTTCCTGGCTCTGCATCTGTGTGCTGCTGCACTATAAATTCTAAATAATGGTGATTAAAACATTTTGGAAACTCTCTTTAAAGCTCAATGTCATGAACCATACCAGCAGCTCTGAGGACATCAAACCCTTACCAGGCCTCCCAGGAATTGGAAACATGAATTATCCATCTACAAGCCCAGGATCCCTGACCAAACACATCTGTGCTATCTGTGGGGACAGATCATCAGGTATGAAAATCCCATTCTCTAGGAAAGCATTAAGTGAAGGAATCCTGCCCCCTCCCTCCACTTCCCTTACTCCAAAGCCATGTTTGCATACAAATCAATACTAAAGACATTTGCTGAGGGATTTGACTAGTGAATATGAACGCAAAGGTCTTACTGGTTTTGTTTTGTAAATTTGTTCCACACAGCCCTGTTCATGCACTCTGTCCCCAACTAGTAGCACTATCTGTTGTTTCTGTCTTGGCCTGGGTTTTGCCAGTATGCCTAAGTACTGACATGTACTATGCCTCTCATAATTTCTGTTCTGTGGCCTCCAGACCACTCTGCCAGCACACCTCTACCTTGCCCCTATGGTCTCTTTTGAGACCCCCAAATTCCTGACTCTGCACCTCAGTTTTGCCCTGCAGTATTTGCTGTTTTGCCAATGGCATGTTCCCATATGATACTAATACATGGCCACTCTAATCTGGCACCCTGGCTCTTCCCATCTTTTCCCTGAAAGCTGCCACTGTGTATGCTGGTTTCATACTATGGACATAAATGGATGAGGACAAGGCTGACAAAATTACTTCTGCTGGCCAAAAAATTCTAGTGATTTGAATTCAAATCCCCACATCCCCTCCAAGCACCTCCCCCATTCATTTTATTTAAAGTGTACATTGGGTTATGTGCATCTTGGGCTTAGGAAGGCAAGAAAAATGTACTGATCTGTGACTACTTGTGTTCTCAGGGAAGCACTACGGGGTATACAGCTGTGAGGGCTGTAAAGGTTTCTTCAAGAGGACAATAAGAAAGGACCTTATCTACACATGCCGCGATAACAAAGACTGCCTAATAGACAAGCGTCAGCGTAACCGCTGCCAGTACTGCCGTTATCAGAAATGCTTGGCTATGGGTATGAAGAGAGAAGGTATGTGGCATGGGAGAGGTGTATGTATAAATACACCTAAGCTTGCTGTAGGATGGTCTGAGAACTTTAAATCTCCATTGCCTACAAGGAAATGGAGCTTGTTGAACTCCACACTAACAGTTCTGGATATTTTTTTCACTAGAGTTTCTATACAGTCAATAGACATATCTTTCTCTCAGCCCCAGGCCATACTGGGTAGGCAAAGGTAGCCTCGTCTCTGTTAGAGCTGATGATTCTGCAGTTCAGAGGCCACCCCCCCCCCCC